ATAGAAATGGTTTTAACTTCTCATCCTTCCATTGCATTCACCATTTAACTGATGAGAGGTGATCATCAATTAAAGTATTGCACTTAGTCACTCATAACAAAAGTACTTTGTAATGAGCCAAATGACTAAATTTATTATGACAAACAAAAACACTTTTTTTATCAATTTATTTATTTATTTTTTTTAAGAACCTTGATTTAAAGAATGAAATGCCTGAATTCATATTTTCTTTGTGACTAGTTTTAGGAGCCAAAAGTAACAATCAGAAAAATAAATGAATTAAGTAAAAAAAAAAAAAAAATGGTAGTGCATAGAAATTTCAAATAGAATGGAATTAAGTTTCTCTTGATGATGCTGAAAGAAACTAATTTCCGTTGACCAATGACAAGAGCTTCAAAAGAGACCAAGACTCTTTATGTTGCACAAATCTATGGCCCTGAGCAAGATAGATTACATCTGTCATGGATTAAATAAACGTAGAGGATTTAATGAACAAAGAAATTTTAATCTCCCTTAACAGCTGTTTCAAAACACAGAAAAACTCAACTGTCTTCATTTTCAATTTAAACAATTGTTTGATGGAATTCTTTTTCTTTTTTTTTCTCCAAAAATGAATATTTTTTGTTTAAAATGTGTTTAGGCTTTTAAAATATTGCCTTCAAAAACATTTTTAGGTTAGACATCAATTAATCGAGAAGGAAAAAAAACATGGAATGATCGTTAATTAAAAATCTAACACTGTAAAATCAACCTAAAACTAAATTCAGTGAGAGAATGTTAATAAATGGAAGAGAGATCTTAAAAAGATGTGTTGATCCTGACAAATTTTAAAGTCTACAGTAATGGACATTAGTTTGTATAGAAATAGATTTATAAAAATGAAATGGGCAGATGATTTTAATAATGAAGTATGATGACAATGCAGGAAAATAAAATCAATTTCATAAAAATCAAACCCAATGTTCTATTGATAGCCTTTTTTTTCTCAAATTGGCGGATAAAGAATTGACTGATTTGAAATTTGGAAGTGAAAACTTTGTTTAGGCTTTTAATTTGGGAAAAAAAAAAACTAAAATTAATCGCTTATTTGGATAACAAAATGTCAGTCTTTAATTTTAAAATGTTTATTTTACATGCTAGAAATGATTTTGTCTCACCAAGGGCTCAAATTGTATGTAAATGTTACTTTCAATTGTACACTTCTTCCCAGGATCTTTTAAAATGTTGACAATAATTTTATTCTAAGTCCTAGATCCCAAAATCAATTCTTTAACACAAAGTTAGGCATTGGATTGATAAAGACTATTGTCTTACAATATAGATGACAAAATCAAGAGAGAAAATGAGGAACAGAAGGTGAGTTATAAAAATATTTGAAGTTTGAGTGTGTGTGTGTATGTGTCAGTTTCTTCTCTACTGTTCAACAGTAGAAGGAAAAAGAGATTCCTGATGGATTACCCCATCAACCTATCAGTGTTACGCATATTATAACACAACTCACACACACATTAAAGTTAAACACATGCAGTTTAATCTTTAGGCATTTTCAAAAGTCAATGACATTATCTAATTTTCTAACAAATTTATCCCTAATCAAGTAGGAATTATTTAAAGAAAGATGGTTACTGACACTATTGTGAAAATTGTTTTAATCTAATCAATTATTAGAGAAAAAATAATTCACAAATATATTAGAACAATTGAAAGTCTATTAAACTTTATAAAAAAAAAAAAAAAAGAAAGAAATCCATGGAAAAAGATGAAAAGCCAGTACATAAGACAGCAACGTTGTTCCTAGACCAGAAAAGAGAGAAATAATATTGGAATTAAAGTAAATAAAAAAGTAATTATAACATAACATGTATCCATTAAATAAACTTTCATAATATTCAAAAATTCATTTGGATTTTAAAAATACTTAATTTCTTTAAATAAAAAAAAAAAAAAAAAAAACTAATTTAAAAAGAAACAAATAAAATAAATCAAGTTTAACCCAACAACAATCTAGAATTAACTAAAAGTGTACACAGTACTTTTTATGATAAATGTTTATGGTTAAAAAAAAGAAAAAAAAAAAAAATGAAAATTTTCCCAAAAAAATGAAAAAAAAAAAAAACATTCTTTCTAGTGAATTCCTCAAGTTTCTCTCAAGTTAAAAGCAGAAAGAATATCCAGCAAATGAGCGGACAGAGTAACAAAAACTTTGAATGTAAATAACATAATTATAAGACATTTTGACTTATAAAGGCAGGTTTGTTTTATTTTGGGTAGCAAGTAGATGACGATGTTATTCTTACAAAAGTAAGCATTTTTAATCATTCTGCTTTAGTTATACTTTGCTGTGTAAAACATATTTGGAATAAAAGTAAATTATTAAAAAAAAAAAAATTTTTTTACAAATAAATGATGAGAGATGATTAATTTTGTTAAGAACAATATTTTTTAAAACAATCTGTTGACTAAAAGATTAAGAGTTATTCAAGAGAAAGCTGCTCCTTTAGGGAACCATAATCATTTAAATGTCATTTGGTTCATCTTCAAAATGGAAGGTCAATCAAATGACATTTTAAATTCAAAGTTTTATTGCATCATCTTAAGTTTTTGAAGGTTTCATTCTCTTATAGTTAATAAAATTATCACATTTGTTTACCTAATAATTTTATCAAGTTATTGACAAAGTCCCTTAGCATTAAGGAATAAAAGCTATCCAAACAGAATTTGTTAGATGAGAAAATCTGAGATATTTGCAGAATCATTTTGAGATCTTGCCATTTTCCAAAAATTCAAGTCTGTGAAAACTATGGCTCCAAAATTTGACAAATGCTGTCTATATGTACAAAGTTCTTTGCAGCATGAAATAATTTAATCAAAAATTATACTAACATCTTTTGGGGACATTTAATCAAGGGAAACATTCATCAGAGACTCTTGTCGCAAAATAAGACAATGTTTCTTTCATAAATGATCTGTCAGTAATTTTTAGCACGAGTCAAATACTGGCCTCAAATAACCATTATTTTGTTTTAGTTAAAAGAAATATTTTTTATTTTATTTTAGTCAAATAGAATAAACAGTGTAGTCTGGATTTGCAATAATGGATTTATCTGCGTTATATAATAAACATTCCTTAAATCTTTTATTTGTTGAAAGGCTTTCTTTAATCAATATACTAACAATCTATAAACCCCAAAAGAAAGTCCGCTCATATTGAATATTATAAGATACGAAAAACAATGGGTAATTAATGGTAATAACAATAATGACGATAATAGATAAATTAGTGAAGAATGCATGCAAATTAAAGATAAAACAATTAAGAAAAATGGAAAAGATAATGAGGCTAAATTCAGACAGAAATAAACTTCCATAAGCAAATAAAAAAGATTTTTAAATGTTTGAAAAGCAAAAAGCCTTTAGCAATCATAAGCTTTAGCTAATCATCCAAAAATGGATTAAAAAAAATAAAAAAAACACATTTTATCAAGTGTTAATGGGAGATGGCAGCAAATTAAAATACAAAGGAAGTAAAATTGTTAAATGATTTACATTTTCAGAGTTGCATAATTTTTTGTTTTTAGTTCAAGTTTCACAAGGTGAATACATAAAGTCCAAAAGGAAATTCTTGAAAGGAAAATGCTGTCAATATTCAATGTTTTTTTTCATAATAAATTAACTATTTTTCCATAGCCATCGCATATGATGAGATTTCTTTTCACAATAAAATTGGCACATTATTGTCAGTTGAGATGGAAGGGCTTTTTATATATGCATGATGTCCAGCTTAAAAAAAAAATCAAAAAAATCAATTCTTATATAGAAATAGAGGCTCTAACTTATTTTGACAAGAAAAAGGATTCTAAGTTGTATCCAAGTAGCAACATGTTGAAGGAAAATATTGCAGCAATATAGAAAAAATGGCAGAACAAATTGTTATAAACAAAAAGAGACAGAGCTGTAAGTTGATATGAAAATAATATTGAATCAATATCACCATCAAACAAATAGAAAGTTTAAAAAAAAACAAAAAACAAAAAAAAATAAAACTAAAATATATGACAACAAAAAGACAAAAGTCATTCTATTTATTTTATAAATCCAGAAAATCCATACACGTTAGAGTGGAAAATTCTATAAAACAGACATCATTGCAAGACAGATTCTAAATAGGTTTCAAGAGACCCAAAACAGTGGAGAAATCTATTGTCAAACTGCTTTTCCCAAGGCAACTAAAGCTATTTAATGGCAACATGACGAGTTAAGGTAACAACAATCAGGGAATATCACGCAGCACATAAATTAACTACAAAACAAAAGGTATAGCCATCAGATGTAGATATCTGTAACAAGTAAAAATATCTATGATTAGGGAGTGGTCATCAAATTTATGTAGAAATAATGGCTTGGAAGAAATAAGGCTAAGCTAAAAGCTAAATTATTTACATAAGTCAAAAACAGTAGAAAGAAGAAATAAAATTGAGCATAATCATTGAAAAAAAGAAAAAGTCTAATTAGAGGTGAAAAAGGATTTTTATAATTGGAACTACTTATGTATCATGATGGGTTTGATTTATTTAATAGAAAGGCAAAGACATCTATGACTCTAAAACTGGCACACACCAAAAGAGACATGTAAAAGATGGTGATAAAAATTAACACAATACTACGAGGTTTCCACAAACTGCCTAAAATCTACCATCATAAAACTGACAATGGTTTTAAAAAAAAAAAAAAAAAAGAAAAAGATTTTTGAATAGTGCTTTAAATAGACAAGTGCAGGATTCTAAAAAAGCAAAAAAAAAAAAAGCTGACAAAGCAATAACAAAAAAAAAAAAAAAAAAAAAAAAAAAATAGGTTCCAAATTTTCTAAGTTTGATGAATGAATAAAAAAAACCAGAGACATATTGAAAGCTACCAATGCTGACAAGAGCCCACGTATTAGTGAGGTGACAAATCCCAAGTTTCATGCACCAATAAATAAAAAGAGGTAAATTGGAATGGCACTAGCCACGATTTACAGTCAAGAGGGTCAATGATGGACTGGACAGAGCTGGGATTGGGAGGGGCCGGTCGGGGGGGCGGGGGCACATATTTGTTGCTGTTGTAGTAGCGAACAGGGTGCTATTTCAGCAAAGAGCAGCAAAAACAAAAGAGAAACGTCACTTTATCAATGAAAAAGGTGAGCATGCAGATACGACAATTTACAAAGCAAAATAAAAGGAAAAAAATGTTAAGATGAGAAGGAATTTTTTTTGTAATGAACAGCACTAAAAAAAAAAAAAAAAAAAAACTTAGTTTTTCAAAGACTTATTGTTTTAAACAGAAAAAAAATTAAATAATTATAGCAAACAGAAAGCTTTTGCAAGTGAAACAATTAAAAACAAAATCCAACAACATCAGTGAGATGCAATGTTTATGTAGAAACATTCAAATTAGAAGATGGCGTTAAATATTTTGGGAGTTCTGCCAACAATAATATAAAGAATTGAAGAAATTGGCTACAATTAGCAAAAAGAAAAAAATACACAAATCACAATATTGAGTGATTGAAATATATCTTTTAAAATATACTAAATAATAATAATAATAGTAGTAATAATAATAGTGCCCATAAACTGGTTGAAAGGTCTTACTGTAGATATCACACCAGTCTAAAGGAACCGCTATCTAGATGCATGCTGAATGAAAGGACAAGTTTTCGTGCCAAAAAGAAAAGAGAAATGCGTACACAACACCAAAATGTATTTTTTGTACCTACCATCACAAATGGTAGCTTTTTACCATTTGAGGATATGAATCAACAATAGACCTAATTATCACACTGTTTTCTTTTTAAATGCTTAGTAGTTTTAAAAAAAAAAAAAAAAAAAAAGGAAAAAAGGGGGGGGAGTGAAAGAAAGTTGCTAAAGAATATCATGAATAATGAAACTGAATGCCTCTCCCACCAAAAGAAGTCATCAATAATTGGTTTCATTCTCCTTAGTGGCTATGAGAAAACAGTTACTTGGCTCTATGCAAAGCTTGCTAAAGCCAGTAAATAGCAAAGAAGATAAGAGTTAATTTCAGCTGAAAGCTCCACAGGTTAGGTCAAGTGTTACAGAGGGCATAAGAAAGGCATGAGGAAGAAGAGACAAAACAAAAAAAGAAAAACAAAAAAAAAAAACATGTAATTATAATCAAGTTGGCTAATGGGAGAAAGGGGAGGCACAAGGAGGATTGTTACACTCACTAGAAATGCATTGTGTTAGTATTATAGATTAAAACAACAAAAAAAGAAGAAAAATCACCATTAAACAAAACACAATGATATCACTCCAGTAGAGGAATGGAGCCATATTTTCATGAGGCAGATAGATGCAAACAAAAACGTTAGACAGAAAAAATAGAATAAGAAAAATTGAATAGAAAGAAAATATTTTTTTTTAATTAGTTCTGAAAGGAGGCAGACAAAAGTGTTTTAAATTTGGAAATTCAGTTGGAGACAAAGGGGGGGGGATGAATAAAGAAGAGTTTTGTGCTAGAAACTTTACAAGCCGAACTGACAATAATCTTTTCTCATACAAATCGAAGAGACAAAATTTAAAAAAAGAAAAAAAAAACATGAGAGATAGATAAAATGTTTGACAAGATTATAAAATATATTCTAAAATTACTTATGACTAACCCACATATACTAAAAACAATGATAATTGTGCCAAGTTTTGAAAATTAGTAAGATATCTACGTTGCCATTTTGCTTAGGTAAATAGTGTCAGATATGAATAACTATGAGAAAGATATATGCAAAAATTTCAGATATAACTAAAAATATATCTTTAAAAGGACAAAATATGAATAAAGATAAAAGGAAAACTTACCTTAGCAAGTGTGTTTCATCATCTTATGGAATTTATCAAGGTAAATGTGAGGATATTATTTTGCACAAGTATTTATAAACAAAAGTAAAAATATTGCTTTTCAAAATTTTTAAATTTATGAAACACAAATATTCTAAAATTAATAAATAATTTAAATATTAATCGCATAAAAAAAACACATCATTTACCCACTTAGTGTCCTCCATAATAATTATTGAGACTTTTCTCAATTAGTCTGTTGAATATTTATGAGAGAGTCTTAAATTTAAACATTTTGAAAAACTAACATTTTTCCTTTTAGAAATGCTTGTTGCAAAATAAAATCCTCATATTTGCCTTGATAAAGTCCATCAGAAGATGAAAGAAATTGGCTAAGATAAGTTTTTCTTTCGTCATTATTCACATGCATATATGAATTAGGATCAAATATGGATTGGAGTCCAACAGAATAAGATAAAGAACAAATAGGGAACATTTATCAATCTAACATGATTCACTTTTATTAAGGCTTCATCAGAGACAAACAAAAGAAAACAAATTCTGGGATTTTTACTTTTGTGCTGTTTGATTTTAATTCGCCAGTCATTGTTACAAAGTGTCGAATACACAGGAAAAATATGACTGACAAATGAAAATCAAACAACTTAATAAAAATACCAAAATTTCTTTCTTTTTTTTTTCTCCATGTCTCAGTTGCTGATGAAACTTTAATAAAAGTGAAACATGTTAGATTGATAAACATTTCCTATTTGTTCTTTATCTTTTAATTCTGTCAGAATAAATATATATATATATATATATATATATATATATATATGGGAGAGAAAGAGAGGCAGTAGAAAGTAGTTTTGTTCTTAGTAAAATTTGATCAATTCTTTTTTAATTTTTTTTTAAACTTTACTCGAAAGTAAATAATTTCTAATGTAAATATAAAAGATGAAAAAAGTGCATTGTAAGAATCAAGTGATGAGGGTGTGAAGATCTTGAATGTCAAAAGATAATCAGCTTGGGTCTACCCCGACTCCCAGCAGAGCTTTTGGAGGGGTAGAGGGTTACCACTGATTATGGCTGCAGCAATAGAAGCGGAGAGTGATGTTAAAGAGTGGACCGGACACGTATCAGAGCATCTAATCCTATACCGGCTGCCGTTAGACATTAGGAAAATAAAAACAAGCCATATAACAAAAACTAAGCAGAGGAAACATTAATTTGTTAAGAAAAAAAAAAAAAACAACTCAAGAGTAAAGAAGATAGAATATGTAATAAAAAAATTATGTGAAGGCACTTGATGATGATACAGGGGAAAGTTTAAAAAAAAAAAAAAAAAAAAAAAACGGGGGAGGGTACCGGGGTACCGTCCAGATGCCTCCAGAGAAACTGTCAAAAGGTGTATTCTTGAAAGAAGTCATAGTGTGATTAGTAAGAGAATGATGACGACTAGCTATCTCAGAGGGACTTACAGTCAAAGAATTAGATTTGATTTTGTTTTTCCAACCAAGAATGGGAGTGCTTGATGGAGTGGGAAGCTGCCTTAAGTCACTTGCTCCCTGCAGAAACAAAATAAAACAAAGCATGCACCATGAACAGCAAAATGTGATGAGAGGATGAAATTGAACAGAAAAAAGGTCAAGAAATAAATAAATGGAGAGGAAGGGGGGGATTAAAAAAAAAAAAAAAAAGAAAGAAAGGAAAACAATGACAAAAAAGACAAAAATATAAGAAATTTGGTTTTATTTTTTTTATGAGTATTGTAAAGGTGGACGATGAATGAATGAATGAATGTCATTTTTTTGTTTTAGTTTTTTTTCAATGGCTTAATTATTTTAGGAGGTACTGAAAAGTCCTTGGACTGACCAAGAAGCCCTTGTAAAAGTAATTTTGATGTTTGGTCATTTGGTTAGTGAGCTGGTCAGAGAACTTTTAAGCACAGTCTTGTATTTTTGTTTTAGATTTGTAATGCTTTTTTATGATTACTTGTTCTCGCCACCCACCCACACTTTCTGGAGATTATTTTTAAACTAATCTTTGTTAAATGAAAGATGAAGTAAAAAATTAGCCACAAGGAAATTTATGATATGAAATTGAAACAAATGAAATATGAATTATTCAACAAAAGTACAACAAGATAAGTTCATCATTTGGTTTCTGCTTGAAAAGTCATAAGGTTCAGGAAAACAAACAATTTAAGTTTTCTTTCAATTTCTGTCCTTAAAATTTGTTTCTTACTTTTGTTCAGTAATTCATGCTGAATTTTGCTGGAGAGGAAGTACTTGTTCCAATATATATATATATATAAAAAAAGAAAAAAAAGGGACAAAATATGTCCCTTAAATGTTAGGAACTTTCTCACCATCTTCTGGAATCTTAATTAAAAATAGCACCAAGTTATATTTGAATAAAATGTATCAAATTAAAACTAAAAAAGAAGTGTTTGCAGGTTTTATGCTTTGCTTAACTGATACTGAAATGTTAACACAGCTATTATTAAAGCCACCTTTACAAGCAACAATGCTGAAAAAAACTTGTTGAAAGCCAAAGCAACATTCTATTTTGGTTATGACAAGAACAATAGTCATAATAACACACCACACCCCTCCCAGGAAGGGACCCATAAAAAAAGAAATGGTTGGAGAAATGACCAGGTGAGAAATGAGTGTTTGTAGTAGAAAGACGTGTTTCAATAGAGACTGACTGAAAAGCACTTTCACAACCTCAAAAATAAGAGCAGATTTCAATTTTATGACAATTTTTGTTGTTTACCTTACTTTTAAATTGATCTGCATATATAGACATTTCTAACAAGGTTGGCCAATACAGATATATGATAAAACAAAAGCATAAAAAATGGGATTGTTATTTAGCTAAAGTCCACCTGTATCCTGTTATCTAGTAGCATTAGTTTGCATATTGGAATAATGTTTTTCCAGGAATGGTCTGACACTGTCTTTCAGTCAATCAGAATATTTTTGAGGATAAATAAACAAACAGTAGTTATTTGAAAACGAGGATTTTACTGGTGTTAATAGGCATCGGTTTATGAATATTGCAAATCTATATTAATGCATTTATGCTTTTCAAAATGGATCTGTGAATTAAATTGAAAAAAGATAATGTTTGCTTCTTTGCCAAAGTAGCTTGGAATTGAAAACTTAGGTGACTATGAGGGGGGAAAATCCATTTAAAAAAAAAAAAACGTTAGGAACAAGGCAAATTTATAACAGGCAGATGAGGTTTCGTCTATTTCAAGGAACTAAGTGAAATTTGCACTCAATTAAAAACCGAATGTTTTATATCAATATCTAAACTATTCAAATTAAGGATTACATTCATTTATCTTTTTTTTAATTTTGCAAAACTGAATAACAGTAATTGCCAATGTTTGGAAAAGTTCTGTTTCAGGTTCTGATTAAAGTAAAGCCTGAATTGCTTTAATTATAATTGATGAAATAATATTTGAACAGAGACACTTAGCTATATTTAAAGACAACTGGCTAAACAAGGAAAAAAAAAAAAAAAAGAAGCTATTTAGACTTGATACTACAACCTATTTTTCACCTTTTAATGAACTAATAAATTATTATTCATCAACTTTTACATATAATCTCATCAGTCTGTGTTGCATGTTTTTAAGACTCAAAAAAAAAAAAAAAAAAAAAAAAAAAACCTCCATGAGATGATAGTAGCATTCTTTTACTAGTTTTATTCTAACAGAGAAGAAAGAAATCTGAAGATAGGAGAAAAAAAACAAACAAAAGAAGCAATAAGATTATCAAAGAAGTTTCAATGAAATAAATGATCCTTTGCAAATGGAACAGATTAACTTGTGTGTGTGTGTGTGTGTGTGTGTGTGTATGTGTGTGCGTGCACACATACATACGCACAAAGCAAGATTTTCATTGTTTATTTTTGTCTTGCATTGACTGAAGTAAACCTAATGAGAAACAAAATGCGACACCCTTCATATTTATAATGTCAGTGGGGGTCAGGTTTGCATCTGCTGGTATTGAAGTTATTAATCTTTTGTTTTGTTTTTTTTAAATAACAGAATGAACTGTAATTAAAATAAATGTCTTTTGTTTGAAACTGAATGATTTGAAATAGCTACATGTTCTATGCTAACAGTTTCTTCTCTTGCGGAACTCTTCTGGGCTTCTTGCTTCCCAGTCAACTTTGATCTTCAAAAATTTAAATGCAATGTCAACCGTTATCTTCAGTCTTCTTAATTCCTGTTCTTTTATTGTTCTCTCTCCTTAATAGTGTTCTCTTTTTCTCATATTCTTTCACACTCAGTAACCCCTTGCATCTCAGTGGCTTTATTCCCTTGCTTGGAATGAAATTATTAAAAAAAAAAAAAAAAAAAAAAATCTGTCAGTAACAAAATTTATTCAATATTATATGGAAAAGGTTTTATTTGTATCCTGAGTATTTACAAAGCATTTTTATTCACTTACCAAAAGAAGCAAGAAAAAGACTTGTTTGATGAGGAAATGAGAAAAAGGCTTATATAGAATGTTGCTTCAGCAAAAAGAGGGGCTGGTGGGGGCTGAACAAAGAGATATGAAAAATACAAAATGACATCTGCTTGATAATAATAATAATAATAAAAATCAAACTGACATAAACCAAAGGGAAGCAAATTATTATTAATTGAAAAAATAAGAATCGGAAAGAAAGCTTCCACAAGTCATACATAGAAATACATAGGGCTATATGCATTTTTATGGCAAATGTGGTGCTTCAATTTGTTGTGTTAGAATTAAAAGCTCCAATCTAGTTCAGCTCAACCATGAGGCCCAGTCATGATGAGTCAACCAAAAATCCTGTTGGAGTTAGAAGGGAAGAAAAAAAATAAAAAATAAAAAAATAAAAAAAAAGGAAGAAAAAGATGTCCAATATGTCATATGAAGAATTTCATGCACTTTGTTAAAAACTAAGAACTAAAAATTAGAAATAAAAAAATCTCAGTAAAAAATTAAAATTGTTTAATGTTATATTAAAGTATTGAAAAATATTAGTAGGAAAAAAAAAAAAGATACTGAAATATTTAGAAACTTCTTTTGTTTCATCTCCTACTGAAGAGAAGGTTGAAATATGAATCTTTATATTATGCGTTTTTTTAAAGTGAAGACAGAATTGACTGAATTAATGAGAATGAAACTAGGAGCATTGTCATGGCTAACATATTTAAATAATCAATCCCAAAGTTTGTCTTTCTTTCTATTCTTTTTAAATAACAAGATGAACAGATAAAAAGTACTGTTTCACTAATTACTAAAATATCACTTTGGTGAGAAGAAGTATAAAAGTAATGGATAAAGCCTCAACAAATTTAGTTGATATGAAATACTTATCTGAAAGATGAATATTTAATCTTTTTTTGTTTTAAAGATTACATTTCCTGATCCAGTACATTTCCCCTGGTTTTATTTTAATTAAATAAATAAAAAAAAATAAATAAAAATAATCACTACCAACAAAAGCACTTATGGTTTCCAGTTCAATTGTTATTGTAGCTGCAAAGGTTAATGTCATTATAAAATCAACTGCCACAAAAATAAAATAAATTTTAATTATAACGTCATGTTTTGTATTAATTAGATACTAGTTTTATGTTTCTATTGTATTTATTAAGGTGTGGGGGGGGGGACAACCAACTCCTTTCTAATGTGTTGCTTTGGGGAGAAAAAAGATACTTGAAAAACACCTACTTAGAAAGAAAAATAATTTGGTAGAGAATGAGATGAAACAAACAAATTAGTGAGGTTAGTTGTGAAGAAATATTTCAATCTTCACTGTTGCTTTGAATAATTTAATGGCTGACATTTTGTCAACAGAGGAATGCTTTTGAACAATTATTGACAAGCAATCATTAAGTATGTAAGGGTCGTTGATTTTGCTTTCTATCTAAGGCTGGGTCATAAAAATAATGTTGCATTGATTCTGGCTTACTGGAACACTCTTCCCAAATCTCTCTCTCTCTCACACACACACACAGGTTGAGATAGGTAAATTGTTGCCATTTTAAAATTTTAATTTTTAATTTCACACATGTGTGTTGTTTATTTTAGATTTTGTCAACTGCACAGTATAGTAGGGTCAGTTGGGTGTGGTCTGTGAGAAAAAGAGCACCATGATGCAATTCACTCCACCAAAAAATTGGAAATGGCATGCTGTACTATTTGGCATTTGTGCCAGAAGCTCCAATATAAACATCTCACAGTGTTTAGGTGTCAATCTGAGGACATTTTAGAGGGTTCGAAGAGAGTTGGATGAGTCTAATGGTGATTACAAAGGTGTTTGGAATGATCACTAGTGATAGCAATGTTATGCCTCCATTCATCATCCCACAGGGCCTCACATTCAACACGGAGGCCTATATCAAGTGCCTTGAGGGGGGGGGGTAGTGCTGCCTTGGGTCAAGAGGGTAGCTACTGGAAGACCCTATGTTTGGAAACAGGACCCTGCAACATGCCACACAAGCAGGAGAACCCATCATGGCAGTCAGACATTTTCTGTGATCACATCACCCCTTACATCTGATCCCCTAACACTTCCCTGTGTGCATCCCTCTTGATTATTATGTGTGGGGTGCAGTTAAGCAAGAAACCAACAAGACTCATTGTAACACCAAAGATGAACTGAAGGCAAGAATTATAGCAGCATTCACCAACTTAAACAAGGAGACCATCCAGAAGATTTGCAGAAATCATCTGAAGGCCATGGTTGAAGCCAATGTTGATTTTATTGAATAAATTTACTCTCTAGTATTTCAAGATATTTTTGTGTAATTTTGGTGAATATATCTGCTAAAATGAAATGTCAGTGTTATTTTCATTTTTGTGTAATTTAGGCAACAATTTATCCACTGCACTATATATATATATATATATATATATATATACAAATAAATAAATAGTCAAGCAAATGTAAAATAATGTCTGGTTTGGGAAGAATAATGGATAGATGAAACAGGTAAAGAACTTAATATGAGATGGGTAGCCCTTTCTATCTTTCAAAGAAATAGAAAAGAAATATATACACACTTTTATATGCCACTTTCTTTGTATATGATTTTTTTTTATTTTTTATTTTTTTACTCTGCCTTGCTGATGAGTTGCTGCTGCTAAGGATAATGCATTCTTTGTTGATTTGCAATGCAAACCATTCTATCAGACAAATTCAAAAATCTTTATCACTTAAAGGGACTAAAAGCTTGTTAAGAAATAAGTTATGGCTTTACAAAGAAGAAAAAAGAAAGTTCATTGATTAAAAGCTACAGAATTAGCCTCAATATTTTATAAGATGACTAATTCTTTTCTATTTTCATTTGCAAATGACACAAAAACTTTCACTCTTGAATAGAAAGAAATTATAAATCAATAATAAAATTAAAACCGAGAATTTTGGATAGGGATAAATTAATGACAAAGCAGAAAATTGTTTTTGTGCAACATATTTCGTTATTTAGGACTTCATCGGACTAAAGAGATATTTCTGTTGATGTAACTACACATGTGCACGAAGGAGAGGGGAAACTGAAATTTAAATTTTTTTTTTTTTTTTAAAGATATGTTTGGGTAGATAGTCAAGCCAATTTCATTTAGTTTCTTTTGTTTTTATCACTTTTGCTATCAAGTTTATTTCCAGGTTTCTCTTGCACTTTGTGCATATTTGCAGGACAAAATGCATTAGAAAATTTCTTTCCACTTTGTTATGAATTATTCCCAATATTGATCTGGTATATAAAAATTTATATTTTTCCCCATAGAGATGAATAAATAAATAAAAATAAATTTTCAAACTAATGACTGTAATATGCTCAATTATGCAGTTTCATATTTGAAAGTTTACTCCACAAATTAATAATCTATATACAAGTCAGAAAGATATCTACTGATAAAAAAAAAAAAAAAAAAAAATCAAATTTATCTTTTAATAGAATGTTTGAAAAAGTCCAGCCAATAGACAGATTAAAGATTTGGGGGTGAAATCTACAAAATAGCAAGTCTCTAATCTAAGCAGGGTTACTTTAAATTGTTCAGATGCACAAGATTTTTCAAAGTGTAGACTTAAACACTGAGTGACTATCGTGGGTTATCATTTAAATATAAAAATACAAATAGGTGAAAGTTGAATAAACACAGAAGAAAAACTATTTTTTTTTGTTTGAATAACCCAAGACTTTTATGGCAAAACAAAACTTGACTCATTTGGAATCTAATCAATTGCTCAGGTGCCATTTTTAATGTTTCCAACCATTTTTAAGCAATTGATGCTTTTTATTAGACTTGAGTCTTTTTTTTTTTTTAAGTCTCCTTACTGCTGACAATAAGAAAATAGATTATTTAAAAAAAATAAATTTTGGCAATATTTATAAAAAAAAAAAATAAAAAAAAAAAAAAAAAAATAGTGACCTTCAACTGAATGTATGAAAAAAGTTTATAGATAATATTTATGTTGGGAAACGAAGAGGGGAAATTTTTAGAGAGAGAAAAAAAAAACATTGCAGATATAGCATAAAAGTGGCAGAAATTTGTCAGATGTTTTCAGGCACTCAAAGATAATTTCAACATTAAGGAGAAATACTTTAATCAACTAAAATGCATTGTTTCTACGAGGCTCCTCATTAATTTAGTTAAAGGCTGAAAGGTAGGGATATGTAAGAATGCACATGTTGAACAGTCCCTTAAAAAGATGATCAGAAAATGAATATGGTTAAAAAAAGAAAAAAAAAAAAGAAAATAGTTGAAGGGAGAGAAGATATGTGGAGAGACACTTACGCTGAATGAGTTTGACTTGTGCACTGATGAAGCTCGCTTGTTCTTGCGGCCAGCAATTGGTGTTAAGCCAGACCCCGCCCTGAAATCCAACCTATCAGACTCCTAAAAATAAAAGGAGCATGCAGCATGCATTGTCATTAAAATCAAATGTTTCAACATAGCAACCAGCAGAGATCTCCTTCGGACACACGTTCAAAATCAAGAGAAAATATATAAAATCATGCAACACAAATCAATAGGACACATGGCACCAGCAAAGTATTTATTTTGATTCATTTAGAATAAATAAGAAATAAATTTTCACTCATCAAATATCACAAATTGAGAGGGGGTAGAGGGAGAGGGGACTAGAGAGAGAGAGAGAGAGAGAAGGCGTAGGTAGGAGGGAGAGAGAGAGAGAGAGAAGGCGTAGGTAGGAGGGAGAGAGAGAGAGAGAGAGAGGGGAGGGAGAGGTAGGAGGGAGAGAGAGAGAGAGAGAAGGCGTAGGTAGGAGGGAGAGAGAGAGAGAGAGAGAGGGCGTAGGTAGGAGGGAGAGAGAGAGAGAGAGAAGGCGTGGTAGGGGAGGAGAGAGAGAGAAGGCGTAGGTAGGAGGGGGAGAGAGAGAGAGAGAAGGCGTGGTAGGTGGGAGGGAGAGAGAGAGAGAGGGCGGGAGAGAGGAGGGAGAGGGAGAGAGAGAGAAAGGGCGTAGGGGAGAGCGACAGAGACAATGGGTGTAGGAGAGAGAGAGAGCTATTAAGGGGCGAGGAGGGAGAGAGAGAGAGACTAAGGGCGCAGGAGGGAGAGAGAGAGAGACTAAGGGCGCAGGAGAGAGAGAGAGAGAGAGACTAAGGGCGCAGGGAGAGAGAGAGAGAGAGAGAGAGAGAGAGAGAGAGACTAAGGGCGAGGAGGAGAGAGAGAGAGACTAAGGGCGCAGGAGGGAGAGAGAGAGACTAAGGGCGAGGAGGGAGAGAGGGACAAAGGGCGAGGGGAGGGAGAGAGGGACAAAGGGCGAGGGAGGGAGAGAGAGAGGGACAAAGGGCGAGGGAGGGAGAGAGAGAGGGACAAAGGGCGAGGGGAGGAGAGAGAGGGACAAAGGGCGAGGAGGGGAGAGAGAGGGACAAAGGGCGAGGGAGGGAGAGAGAGGGACAAAGGGCGCAGGAGGGAGAGAGAGGGACAAAGGGCGCAGGAGGGGAGAGAGAGGGACAAAGGGCGCAGGAGGGAGAGAGAGGGACAAAGGGCGCAGGAGGGAGAGAGATGGACAAAGGGCGTAGGAGGGAGAGAGACAAAGGGCGTAGGAGGGAGAGAGAGGGACAAAGGGCGTAGGAGGGACAGAGTGAGACAAACATTGTAGGGGAGAGAGGAGGAGGAGCAAGGGGAGAAAGTGCAAGATAGAGTGGTAGTGTGTGTGTGTGTATATATATATATATATATATATGAATGAAAGAGAAAAGAGGAGAGAAAGAGAAAAGAGGAGAGAAAGAGAAAAGAGGAGAGAAAGAGAAAAGAGGAGAGAAAGAGAAAAGAGGAGAGAAAGAGAAAAGAGGAGAGAAAGAGAAAAGAGGAGAGAAAGAGAAAAGAGGAGAGAAAGAGAAAAGAGGAGAGAAAGAGAAAAGAGGAGAGAAAGAGAAAAGAGGAGAGAAAGAGAAAAAAAAAAAAAAACAAGAACAGATTAAAAGCTGACCTGGCAGGGGGTTATAGTTCAGGGCAAAATTACTGAAACTTAGAATTTTTATTTTTTAACACTTGTTGCTCTTAACATTTTTGTTTGTAATGGGGTTCCAAGTTCCAAAATGTGAAAAAAGCTATCAGAAAAAAATGCTGAATGAATTGGCTAAATGAATACGAGTTAAACAGCAGATATAACAAGTGAACACTCTTATCGGACAGCATTTTAATTAGGACTGATGAAGAACTGAAATGTAAAGTAAAATATTTCCTCATTGATAACAGTCAACATTCACATGCATACATCATTTCTGCATATAACAACAGCCAATGCGAAATGTTTGGGAGAGGAAACCACTGAAAAGTATTTACCAAACACCTTTTCAAATGAATTGTTTGTTTTGGAGGACAACATCAGAGTATATGCAGAAAACATTGACTACACTGTAATTAAGTTTAGAAAACTTGGTTTATAGAAAGATTTCCTTCCCTTGGAACATTAGAGAGTTGCTTTCAATGAGAAGATGAGCAACAATTGGTCATCACCTGGATGCATACTCAATGGAAATTTTGTCATCAAAATTAATTGTTGACCACAGCATCGGCAGACTCTGGCAGAAGAGAAGCATTTTGGAGACTGAAAAGCAGAAGTGACAGACTTGGACGATACTCTGCCAAATGACACAAACCAACATCCGAGAATGTTGTCAAGGAAATTTTTTTTTCTTTTTTCAAAGACTCAAAGTTCATCAATATGAAACAATGGTCAAAATTGCAAGAGGATGTCGACTGAATCTATCAGAGCTTAATGAGAAGGTCTTTAAATAAATCGAGTTAATTATTAAAAAAGTCGACCTGATTGATGCTTTGGATGTATTGATACCTGTGATCTGCTGGGGAAAAAATAAGACGATTCAAGGTTCAAAGCACACAGCAGGACCCGACCTCAAGCAGAACAGAAACAATTGTCACTACACTTAATAGCTGAGGCAGTGATTATGTTAGAATGTGTTGGAGGGTTAGGGTTGTGCTATTAGCTTTGTGTTACACACAAAAATTGTGGAGACAAACATTTCATGGTGGTAACATTCAAAATAACCAATTAGCAGAAGAAGCAATACTGTCAATTTCTTGGAAATTATTTCTCTAAAGTTTAAAAGGACAAAAAAAAAGTTAATCTTATTTAGATGAAGAAAAGTATAAAGAATCTTGAATTTATGAACTTTTGAAATGAGGTCAATGCAAACATTAAAAAAATGCTTAAGTGCTTCAATTTTATGACAATTACTAATGATTTCCAAGTTGAAAGAAGAAAAAAATTTAAATGATGGATATTATTTTCTTATTAAACAGAGATCCCATCAAAAGATGAGCAAGAGAAAAAAATCCTACCATAAATGTCTGAATGAGTTACTTCCATCAACATGACTGATGCTAACCTCCATGAAGTGGAAAGATTCTATTGAATCAACTGCTAAGTCTGCTGCTAAGAAAGTTGGTTCACTGTTTCGTGCAAGACAATTTTTCTTGCCAGAATCTATCTTACACATTTATCAGTTGACCATTTGTCAATGTAGTGAATATTGCTGCTACTAGACATTTAGAGATTCTTGATAAGATCCAAAAAAGAATCTGCAATGTTATCAGTTCTGACCTGGCATTTTGACTTCAGTCACTTTCCCACTACTGTAATGTAATGTAGTTTCCCTCTGCCTTTTCTATAAATATTTTCATCATAATTGTTCTGATGAACTTTCTTCTATTGTACCTTATTGAATTTAAGCACAGTACTAGATTGGCAGCTACGGCTCATCATTTTTTAGTTGAAAAGCCTAGATGGAACCTTAAGTTCTAAGCTAACGGTTTCTTCTCTTGTACTTTACACTTATTGAAGTCCCTTCCTCCTCCTTGCTTTCCAATCAAGTTTGATATTTAAAAATTTAAATGCAATGTCAACTGTTATCGTCTGTCTTCTTAATTCCTGTTTTTTTATAGTTTTCTTGTCTTAATAATTTTATTGTTTTTCTTTTTCCCATATTCTTTCACACTCAGTAATCCCTTGCATCTTAGTGGCTTTATTGCCTTGCCTGGGGTGAAATGAGAAAAAAAGTAAAAAAAAAATAAAGAAAAAGTCAATTAGCAAGACAAAAACAGGACATTTTCTTTATAGTGTGTCTTCATGGAGATGGCAATTGGATATTACATATGATGATTCCTGATTGGTAAAACTTAATAGATATCTGAAAGCGGGGACACACTTGGTGTTGATTGTCAAAATTCCAACACTACTGTTTAAGGTGCAACAAATCAACAAAATACTCCATAGAAAAATGGAATGCAAGGCACACAACCAGCAGAAAAGCCAAGGGATTAATCTTTTCTTTTTATGAATGATCAATTTATAAAACATGTTATTTTTAGTGGATACATGTTTGAATGATGCCCCATTTAAAAAAAAAAATTTTTTTTAAAAATAGTATGTATTTCAGCTACCGATTTACACACTCAAGAAAACTTAAAAGAGAAACTTAGAAACTTGCTGGACTATGGCACACTCTGTGGCTGGGTGGGGTCTAAAGCACACTGGATCAAATGATAATTCCTCTTAGAAAGGGGGACACAGGTTTGAATCTTGATGGAAAGCACTTTGTTTTTTTTATTAAGTTTTCGTGTGTGCAGGTTGGTAGATGTAATACACACAGTTTAAAAAAGAGGCAATTTATTTCAAAAATGGGTATCCATGAAAAAGAACATCTGTAGTAATAAAAATGACAGATTAAAAATAAATCCATTCTTTATACATATGATAAAATATAGTTTTAAGGGGTGCTATATTTATGGGTTAAAATGCTCGATATCAGGGACAAAGGATATGTAAATATATAAGAGGACATTGCAGTCAACACTTAGAAGTGACAGTTTCAGGCTAAATGCAATCATCAGGCCATATGCATTATGTTTTTGCTCAACTATTTCTATATACAGGCCAGTGATGTATCATGACTACTCACAATGAATCACTGACCTGAATATATAGTTGAGCAAAAACAACACACACATGGCCTGACAATTACATTTAGCATGAAACAGACTTTTGCCTCTGGGTATTGACTTCACTGCCCCCCCCCCACACACACAAACATAAGTTATCTTTCTTCCACTAGAAAAAGGTTAGATAATTAATCTCAAATGAGAATTGTTTTGGGGTTTTCAAAGCAGAGATTAAATTTGGATGAAAAATATCAGCACTAAAAGAAAATAAATGACTTAAGCAATGAACACTATTTATGTACTTTATTTTCTCTTTGGGTAAGCAAATTGTTAAAAAAAAAAAAAACATTTCAGTGGAACCTTTATGAAAACCTATTTACATGAACCTGTCATGTATACAAGCCTGAAGTATGAAAAAAAAAAAATAAACAAAACATTTTAATGTATTTAAAAAATAAATAAACCTGAAGGACTTGCCAAGATCTTACTTGGTGGGAAGGGGAATGCTGGTACATTGAAAAAAAAAAAAAAAAATATCACAAAGACAAAAAACTGTTTAGACAAAAAATGAAAAAGTAAGACAATTCTAAGAAGCATTTTTCTATTGGGTTTCACTATTTTTAACCGAAATTCTTAATAAGCATGGAATGGCAAAAAGACAATTGCTTGAGAAGATAGAAAAAAAAAAAAAAACTTCGCTTAAAGACCCGAATATTTCAAAGCAAGAAAGTTGGCACTGGATTTTATTTGTTCAAATTTTCAAAATGTTAAATACTCAAATATATATATATATATATATATATATATATATATATATATATATATATATAAAAAATTTAAAAACTTTTTCCTAAGCTGGGTTAGGGCAGCCGAAAACACATGCGCATGAGTTGAACAACCAAGAAGAATCTGAAGAAGACACACACAAAAAAAAAAAAAAAAAAAAAAAAAAAAAAAAAAAAAACATCAACAACCAGCAGAGCGCAGATGACTGAAAAAGGTTAGCACGCACACCCAAACACACACATACGGACATACAGACAGACACAACATTGAAATGGTCAATTAAAGCCAAAGTACCAGAGAGAAATAGTCTTTGTGTAATCAGAGAAAACAAAGCATCAATGAGAAGCATGTTAAACTGACACAAGGCATGCACATGTCTTTGCCACGAACATTTTGTTTGGGTTTTTTTTTGTTTCTTTTTTTTTTTTTACTTTTGTCACCACCTGTGATCAGCATAATGAAAAATGACATTAAGAAGAACACTTGAGAAAGAAATAGAAAAGACACAAGCAGAAAAGAGAGAAAAGAACAGGTTTTAAAAATCATAACAATGTAATATGAATCCAACAGTAAAGTGACTAGCAAAAATCAAACTACAATAGAATTGATAATAGACATTTCTTTTGGCTTTTATTCAACCTTTAGCACTCTGCATTATTAATATTACTTCCCTGTTCATTGCATTTTTTTTTCAAGACCTCTCAGTTGCACTATCCTTTTTGTTAATTTCACTCAAAGCTCTTTCCTGTTGCCATAGCAGGATATGACAACACATCTCTGAAATTCAAACACACTATTGTTCAGGGATCAGAGTCACCTTCAGTGCCAGAATAAACTTTATGTACAGTCACATACAGAGTGATAAAGGTTAAAGTATCTTACCTGAGGTAATTAAATATTTAAAAAAATGTCTGAACAATTATTAAAAGAATTTTTTTTTACCTTTAATTGTTAAATGATATCAAGATGTACTTATTGGAAATTAAACATTTATTTAAATTCTAAATTAACAGGTATTGTTGGATGACTATTTTTAGTAAAGAAATTTTTATATTTGTTGATAACTTGAAAGAAAGTCATTTTCTTTAGGAATATAAAAAGATCAACAAAAAACTCCATTTGAATTTCAAGGAATGAAAAGATGAAAACAACTGTGAAATTTTTATTTTGAAATCAGAAGTTGCTTTTGTTGACTTTTGCATTCAAGAATCATTCAATAAATTTAGAAGCTAGAAATACGAACCAAACAACTTGGTGGCATTTTTTCAATTTGAAATTTATAAACTATAAAATATATTCCAATTATCCGTTATATATATTTTCAAATGTTTATTACTTGGCATTTGAAGAAATGAAGAAAGCAAATATTTTCTATAAAAAAAACTAGAACAATTCATTTAATAATCAAGATGTTCTTCATGATTAGTTCTTTATTAGTTAATTAGGATTTTTTCTTACAACTTTAAATAATGATTCACTTTATATTAGATATAGAAGTCATCAACTGTGTTGGTAATTTCAATGAATATGTTAAAATTAACAGTAATAAATGAAACGAGATTGTATAAATATCAGAGATAATGAATTTGAACTGTAAGCACAATGGTGACAGGATAAATGGAGTCAGTGTCAAAGTAAGAAGATCTCAATGTTCTTGAAACTCATTCTAATAACAATGTTCTCCCCTGTCTGGATTATAAAAACTGAATCTAGTGATGTCAGGAATTGTGGAGAGTTCAGAAGGAATATAGGTTGTTACCTGTGCGTCCCCAGGTTGGCCAGCATCGGATTTATCTTTCTGGCGACGTTCACCTTTTTCGCTCTTCTCTCTCATGTCTTTCTCTCTGGACATCAAATCCTTGGAGGAAGAGCCAGAAATCTAGAATAATAATAATAATGAAAACAAGACTTGAAATAGAAGAATTAATTTGAAGACAGATGACACATTTTCTGTACAAAGAGGTAAGAGTTTATTTAATGTAAATTAAAAATGTCACATCAAGATAGGAGAAAGAATGAGTTTCCTGTTAAATGGTAAAGGAAGTTTTTTTTTTTAACTTTAGAAGAGACAGAAATTTTTAATAGTAAAGACAAAAATTATCAACTTCATCAACTTTTAGATAAAAGTCGATCACATCTGGAAAAAGAAATTGTTTTGTGCTCCAAAAGTACTTTACTCAGAGCTCCTAATATGAACAGTTAAAAATAGATTTTCTTTGGGCTTAAAACAGGAAGACACAAAATGAAATCTAATTTCTTTAAAAAAAAGATAGTTGTTTTATTTTTTTATTTTTTTTTTTTTTAAATAGAATCATGTAAATATCTCAACATAATCATTTTCTAAGAATTATGTAAATAACTAAACAAGACATAGTGGGTTTGCACAATAGGGCTAAGCAAGCATTTAAGGGTTTCCAGCCCCTGAATGATTTTCTAGCTCAACCATGGAACTGCATTAAGAACATTTGTACTCAAGAGGAAGATTAAACAAAAACTATTTCTATGAATAAAAAAATAAGTGGGGGTCTGTCTAGAAATACTGGTTTACATTGAAGACCTCAAAATTCCTGAAAAGAGCTTGGATTTTGTATTTAATCATTTATACTGTGTGTGTGGGGAGGGGGATCAATGCCCAAACTGGATTCAGCACTCAAAATAAAAATAGGTCAAGATCATGATTTTGTGATAAATACAAGGAAATTTAGATCAAAAACTGATATTTTGTAAGCAACATATAATGCCAAAAGTGGGTTAATGATCTATTTAACATATGAAAAGAACTGAACATTGTTTTCAGTCTTTCAGATTAAAATTATTTTAATAAATATCAACTGAAAGTAGTACTGGCTGCTGCTCAGTCAATGAATGCCAAATGTTTCCTTATAAGGAGACAGCTAATATTACCATTAATATTATTTATACTTAAGAGGAAGATTAAAACAAAACTTTCACATTTTTATAAATTAAAAAAAATAGTAGTTTAGGTGTAGGAAATCTAATTTGCAATGAAAAGCCCAAATTACTGAAAAGAGATTAAATTTTGCATTTAACCCATTTAGACTGGGGAGGGGGGATTTTCAGTGCTAGATTCAGCACTCAAAATAAAAAATAAAAAAAACAGGAATAGAGGTTTAAAATCATGATTTTCTGATAAATACAAGTAAACTTATGTTGAAAACAAGCATATAAAGGGTGCGAGGGTTAAATTGTCACCATTTTATATTTTTAATTTCATGCTTGCAACAAGATCCAAATGATTTTCCAAACAAAAAAAAAAAAAAAAAAAAAAAAACAGAAAAGGCAATGATCCACAACTGATCTAAATTAAGCAATTAAACATATGAAAAATGATCATAACTTGAAAAATACTTGGCGTTAGGACATAGATGAGTTCTGAAATCCTAAGATTGTCTACTTTAAGACAACATGTAGCATATATCATATGGGAATTAAAAAAAAAAAAGAAAAAAAAAGCCCCTTCCGCAAGAAGGTGGTTCAAAGGCAGCAAGAAGAAGTGAGGGTGATTCGAGATTTTAACTAATGAGTGAAAGTCCATATAAACATTTAGAATTAATATCTTAGCTATTTACTTCTTAAGATTATTAAATGTGCCTCATTGAAGTAGGTGTCTTCAAACAAGAGATCAATCTTTCTCAAGTAAATAAACCCAGATCAATGATCAAAGTATAGCATAAGGTGGTAAGGAGTGCAGTGATGAAAAACTGATAAAATGTAGGAAATATAGAAGGAAACAGGGAAAGTAATCTGAAGATGTCTTCAAATCAACAAGATTTTTCATAAAAAATAATGCAAAATATAGTGATTTTCTATGCATAGCTGAGATGTGGCACAAAGCTGAAAGTGTGGAGCACCCAGTGAGGATCAAACTCACTACTCAGTTGTAATTGATCTAGCAAAACAAGCTTACTAACCATTACACAACATCAAAGTGCCCCCAAAATAATGCAAAATATGGTTTAAAAAAAAAAAAAAAAAAAAAGCAGAGAGAAAAATCATTTTTAATGTGATCATCTCCAACAAAAGTTCTGGTTCAGCAAACTTCAAAACATGCAGAAAATCAAAATTTTCAGATTTGTTTGAAATGAGCTGAAATTCAAGTATTTCAAGATTAGAAAACAGGAACAATTCATTTTTCTATCAACTTTTGGTGAGAAATTAAACTTGAAAGCAGCTGTAATGACCAAAAGCATATCTCATTAAATTGGCTTTTTTGAAAATTTTAAATAATCTTGAGATGCTTGTCAACATTTCTTTCATCTGTTAACTTATAAGAACACAAAAAATATAAATACTATTTGAGAAAATAAATAAAAAAAAATTCATTTGTGTTAACATAGAATTAAGTTTATTTAGAAAATTTCCCAATAAGGTTAAAATTTCACTTTTTCTTAAAAAACATTTCTTTACTCCTTTTGTTACATTTTTCTTTCCATGGCCTCAGCTTTTTTGAAAGAGTCCCTTATAAATGGTCAGGTCAACTTATTTACATTAAACAATATTTAAATTTTTTTTTTTTTTCAAGTGCAGAAAAAGATACTTGATGCCACATTGGAAAATTTTAAATGAAATTCATATGTGAAAGGAAATCTGAGAACAATCTATGACGAATAAAAGAATTTAGGAAACTGTTCTATTTCACTATCAAGTATCCACTTCTAGTGTTATATAATGTTTAATGATCAGTCATTCTTTAGCTGAGGACTTTTCAGCATCTGAGTGACTGCCATAAAATTCAACATTCTTTCTATTTAACAATTGCAAACTACAAATTGCAGATACCAAAATCAAGCAAGTTCAAAAATTTAAATACCTGGGAAGTGTTTTAACAGAGGACAGAAAGTGTGATACCAAAATCCAGAGGTGCATTGCGATAACAAAAGATGCCTTCCAAAAGCTATGCAAAGTATTAACAAACAGGAAAATTTCATTAGACACAAAGAAAAGAATACTGAACTGTTGAAGAGGCTTGAGGCATCAGAAATGTGATTCTACAGAAGGATGCTGAAAAGACCACAGACTGAACATATGATCAATAACAAAGTCTTTATGGAAGCAATAAAAGACACCTACTTAGCAGCAGAAAGAGATAATTCAAATTTATAGGACATGTGATGAGAAAAATAGGCTTAGAAAATTTGATACTCCTAGGACATATTGAGAGAGAGAGAGAAAGGAACACAAGACCTAACCTGATTGCACAAATTGCTGGCAGAACAGGGTTTAGGAGAGATAACAAAAAGACAAAATTTACTAAGAGCTACAAAGGACAGGAAATTGTGGAGAGCTACCATTTCTCATATCCCAAAGGGATACAGTACATAGCAGCAAAAGAAGATGTGCATTATCATTACTCATCCTGACTATTCTCCTACTGCCACAAGGTGACTGGTAGGTGCAATTAGGAAGGAAGAAAAACAAGAAATAAAGAGTTTATAAGAGTCAGCTTAGAATTCACTTAAGCTACAGTGGCTATTAACGACACATAAACGGGTTATTGTCATTAACACATTGGTAAGAGGAGATGTTAATAATATCACCGACATAAAGGTCTTAGTCTTCTACCTTTCAACAGTAAAATAGACAAAGGTACATCTATGAAAAATAAATCTGAACAGGTTATCATTTTCAGTTTGTTTTTGTCGATTATAAGTATGTTGAACTTGTTCAGATTTAAATGGCCACCTGTATTTTTATCTATAAGATGTGCATGACATAAAAGATGAAAATACTGTTCTAAAAAAACAAAGTGTGATTTTTTTATAATCGTCTTATATATCGTGAGAAAATATTACATTGTCATGATGACAGCTACTTTAACTCAAGAGGCATGTTTCAAAGGAATTATTAAATGCAATATATTTATCAATTTATATATTTAATAAAAAGTTAGAATTTCATTAATTGCAAATGATAGGCAAGAACATGCAGCTTTAAAAATAAAAAAGCATTTCCTCTTTCCAAATGTAAAGTTGAAAAGGATTAGAGAGTTAAAAATCTGTAGAAAATATAACGGATATTTTAAAAATGTTTTCAATAGCAGATATACACAAAAAGAGTGGTCGAAAGTGAACTATTTGATTTTCTTCTTTATATATTCACAGTGTAGCAACATCTCTTAATGGAAACAAGTGAAACAAACATTGAAAAGGAACTTGTATGTTATTATAAAAAGAAATCAATGCAAACAACATAGAAAGAAGAACATACTTGCCGTGAGAGAGAGGGAGAGAGAGACAGATAGTCTTATTTATATTCGGCACAGACTAAGAGGACCGTGTGAGAACCATGAGGGGACAGGTGTAATCTGGTTGGCAAGTCCAGGGTCCCCCCAAAATAGCCCAAGTCAACAGTATAACTCTGTGCATCTTTACACACTGAAGTCCATGCTAGAGTGGTACAAGGTAGAGAGAGAGAATGGAATGGAGGTGGCGTCAATAATATAGACTAGACACCCTCTTGCCATGACCGTGCAGCAAATATCTGTTGCTGCCTGTTGTCGTCGTTGTCGTTCTTATCAACACTGTGTTATGTAGTTACAATGACTTCCCTTTTCCTGTTCTCATCACACTAGCAAGTGCATAAGCACCAAAACATCATCTTTTGGGGGCGGTTTTTTTTTTTTAATCTTATAACTCTTTGTCCAACAGCTGATCATCCTAAATCCATAACAGTTGCATAGAACAACAAGTTTCAAACAGCTCCCAACATAATGACTGGGCTTAGAGAGAGAGAGAGAAACATAATTTTAGGGTGTGTGGAGTGGTATACAGAGTTTACAACCAGGGGCTAAATGAGCAATAATGTTAGTAATATATATATATATATATATATATATATATATATATATATATATATATT